TATTTGTCTTTTGTCGTATGATTGTGTAGTCTATGATTGATTTTAACCCTCTCGTATTTTGCGTACATGTGTATTTGTGTATGTCTCTTGTGTTGAAATAATCCATTTGCAATTTTCATTTCATTTTGTTCGCATAATGATATTAGTCTGGTAACATTATCATTTAATTGGTCCTCTCCGAATGGACCTATAACTGCGCTATGGGTTTTTTCCAGTTTTGCTGTTTAAGTCTCCCAAGATAATTTCTCGAGACGTGTCGTGCCGACTTTTGCAAGCTCTAAATTAAATTTCTCAAAAAAATCGTTTTAAAACAAAGAATGATCCCCTTCTTATTCTATGTGCGGCCGAGTATGCGGACGATATTATAATCGTATATACATGTAGTCGATTGTCCGTTATCTGAATCTAAAAACGTCTTATTTAATTGGACATATTTTAATCCGTGTGAAGTCCTTGGAAAATACTAATAATTATTCAGGTTATGTTCCCTATACAAATGTAGTTTTTGAGTAATTTTGCCATTGTTAAAATTATATTATAAACTTTTAATACTTGTGGATTTGAGTACTAAATCTGTAGTTGTATGTTGCCGTTCTTAATTATGCTACATTTTCTGGCTCTACAGTTTACGCCACATTTAACATACTTACTGAACACGTACTTAGTAGATGAATTAAACACATTGAAGTTCTTGACATTTAATCACACGACGTCAAACAACAATCTAATAATATACCTTAACGACTGACGAAGATATTCTTTGGACTTCTGATTATACATATATTTTAGATTTAATTAAAATACTTCTGGGAATTCATGTAGCAAATTTAAAAATATTACAACGAAAATTAATTATTCCTGGTATTAAAAAAAGAAATTTATAGCAATACTTTATATGACCAATTAGGAATATGATATAAACGATAAAAATACTTATGTAAAAAATGATAATCATTGACTGACATGTAATTAATAACGATGTGTTAAAAGAATATTTGCTATTATAAAAAAGCATTTATATTACCACATTTATAAAGGTAATAAATCAGAACTACAAAATGGGAATTTCTAGTGTGACATTGGTTGATAATTCCATTATGATACAGAATACAAAAAAAAGTTATTTAGGAAAAGGCAAGGATATTCTCCAGGATTGGTTAGTATGCCGAATTTGAGAGGGTGATTAATAACTACGTGGTAAAGCAATTGATAATTGCTTATCGCTATAAGATCTTCTATCTATAGATCTTCTTCTTCTTCTTCTAATACCGCTACAAACCTTTGTAGATCTTGGACTGCTCAACAACGTTCTTTTATTCTGCCCTGTTGGATACTTTCCGTCACCTCTGTCTAATGTTGATGGTCGTAAGATTTTCCTCTACATCGTATACCCATCTATTACGGGGCCTTCCTCTTGTTTTATTTCCTTGGCGTTTCCATCTCTGAATTACAGGACTTTTGTGGTAAGCTTAACTGCGGTGTTCAGTAGATTTATTCCTCTATAATTCTTGGGTCTTCTTTATCTCCTTCCTTGAACATTGGTATCATTATGCTGTTTCTCCATCTGGTACCTTGCAGTGCAATATTAGTTTTGAATAAGTTTTGTCATCTCTAGAGTATACTTTCTCCTCCGTATTTTATAAGCTTGTTGGTTATTCCGTCTGCTCCTGGTGAATTTCTATCTGCGAGTAAATTTATGGCTATTTCTACTTCCTGAAAACTGAATTTTATTTCATGTCTTAATTCAGGTACGTTATTGTGTTGATTATTATTTTGCTTTGTTATAAACATTTCCGTCAGGTATCTTTTCCATTCGATTGCTAGTATATTATTATATTCCTTCAATTCTGCCATTTCTTTCCGTTGGTTTCTTATGAATCTCCATATTTGTTTTTGTCTACCGTCGAAGTCGCTTTTCATCCTTTTTGTAAACTGTTCCCAGTGTTCATTTTTTGTTCTTCTTGCCAACTGTTTTGTTTCATTTCATATTCTTCTATAGGTGTCTTGTGATTCTTGAATATTTATTGTCTGTTACTTCGTGTAGGCGTCTTGTTTCTCTTTACATTTCTGTTTTATTTCTTTTCTGAACCATGGTGCATTGTTGTTGTTTCTTTTGAATAAAAAGAACCGATATTCATCCAGCTCATAGTTCGTTTTTATTTTCCATGAACCATCGCTACAATGGATTGGTCCCAATATCTATAGATTACAATAATTTAGTCTTAAAATGGTTTATTTTGTCAGATATAAGGGTTTTATCCCAAATTTAATATTGTAAGATAATGACATTTATTAATAAGTATGCTAAATTTTCAATCTAATGTTTATTTTCAACAATGATCAATAGCATTCAAAATGTGAAATAATTTTAAAGGAAAAATAACCTCCTTCTGCTTAAACACAAGCGTCAAATGGTCTAAGAAGTTCATGTGTACATGCCGAATGTATCATTTCTGGCACTCCCAAGGTACGCGCTTGTCTAATTTTAGTTTTTAAATCGTCTGTGTATATCTGTAGATAGCAAAGGCGATCTTGGAGGCCATTACTTGAGGCGGTCTCAAACGGGCCCGTTAGTTCCAATTTATCTGTTTAGAATTATGGCATGAAGGTAATTGATTACAATACCGCTGTATTTGGGGGGGCGCGGTATTGTTGCCTTATCATAACTCCCCTTTTACGTAAAGAAATATTCTCCAACCTGATTGCGCCAGACATGCCATGCGGCTTGTGAACTGCTTAGATTGTTTGACGATTTTGTTGAAGCAAAACACCTCTTATGACATTATTTCACATTTAAAATTGTATTTATTTTTGTTCAAAATAAATATTAAATTAAAAATTTAGCGTATTTTTTAATATAGTACATATATTAAGGTACACTGTTAACTTTGGAATAAAAGTACTTTCATTGATCAAACCTATACCCCCTGATCCATTTAATTTTTTCCTTTGTAATGACGTCACAGCGCCTGTGATGACGTTACAGATCCTATGTATACATCAATTGATAGTATTGTAGATTCAATTGACATTTCCCAATTTTTAAATAAACTTATTTATTTGTTCCTGAAATATAGGATGTTTAAATCATATTGGAACACCCTGTAGTTTTTTGGCCGATGCACTTGATTGCAATATGATTTATTTCTTTTTCTTCCAATAGAGCTAGACATCTGAACTTTCAATTCGGAAAATTTTTGATTTTGGTAATGTTAAGATAGTTTTCCACAATATTTCCTCTGAGCATATTTGTTCAAAATAATTTATAAGTTTTTAGTATATTCTATTATTATTATCTTCTAAATATAAATATTTTCCTTTTCTTCCTCTTCCTCTTTATAAGCAATTTTGCTTGTTTATTGGTGGATCAATACCTCTATGGAAGGTACCACACTTCCATAGAGCATACATACCTCTTTCGATCTCTCAGCGTATTTCCTGTAATTCTTCCCAGTACTCTCATCTCTGCCATTTCCAGTAGCCTTTGCATTGTAGCTGTGTCGGGTCTTGTTTTTAAGGCATATGTCATTATTGGTCTTACACTGGCTTTATAAATTCTTGACTTCATCTCTATTTGCTTTTTGTACATGATCTTTCACTTCTTTGTCCAGGTGCCCATAGGTAGACAGTGTAATTTCCAGGTATTTTATTTCCATTACTTGTTCAGTACTGATGCCATCAATTTATATTTTATATCTGATTCGTTATTTGCTGACTACTATTGTGTATTAATTTTTTTTGCTCCATGTTAAATTTGTGGACAAATCTTTGCAGACTATCTTCATCTTGGGTTATCAATATTGCTTTGTCTGCGTAACAGATTATTTTTATTTCTTTTTTCCCATTATTGCTTATTTCCTTTGTATTCTCTTCCTCTGTTAACGCTTTTGATGAGTTCATCCATGATCAAATTGAAGAGTGTGGGGCTCAATGACTCACCTTGTCTTATTCCGCTGCCTGTTTCGATCAGTTTTATAAGTTGCTCATCTATTCTGATTTCAATTTTGTCGTTTTGATAGATGTTTTAGATAATTTTTATAATATTTGGGGAAACTCTATTATACAAAAGATGGATAACATCTTTGAATCTTACTTTGTCAAATACTTTATTTAGGTCAATGAGACACGAAACTGCTGGTCTATTATACTCTAGTGATTTCTCACTAGTTTGATTTATAACGAATATTGCATCTGTACATGATCTTGCACTAAGAAAACCATGTTGTTCATCTGCTAAACTTATCCTCTGATTTATTAGCACTTGCAAAAATTTTAGTTGTAAGTTTTAGCGTAGTATTTAACAAGTTTATACCTCTGTAGTTTTCTGGCTGTTTTTTATCTCCTTGTTCGAATAGTAGAATTAGTTCGATTATTCTTCATTCTTCCGGTATTTTATTGTGTTTTATAATTTTATTAATTATTAATGTTGTTAATTTTTCTGTCATTGCTGCTTCACCATATTTTAGTAATTCATTTGGTATCTTGTCTTTACGTTATGCTTTTCTGTTCTTTAGGTTTTCCAGTATTTTCCGAACTTCCTGGATATTTACATAAAGTTCTTCATTTGTAGTAATCTCTGGTGTTTCCAGATCTAACGTCGTTTGTTCTCCTCTGCATAGATCTTTTTAGGTAGTCACTCCATGTATTCTTTTCTATGTGTTTCGGTTTTATTAGTTACTTTACCTCCGTTCTTTGGCCTCTTATGAAGCGCTATAATTCCTTCTGCAGACTGTAAAAATCATGTTTCATTATTTTCGAAAAGTGTTCCCTGTGATCGTTTTTATTATAATATAAAATTTAATATATATATATATATATATATATATTATATATATATATATATATATATATATATATATATATATATAATGCAGTTATTTTGTAGTTTTAGTTTACGTTTTCCTTTTAGACATACTTACTTGTTTTGCTACCAATCAATTGTTGTCAAAGATTTTGTCCGACTTCAATATTTTATTAATATAGTTTTGTCTTTTTTTTAGAGTATAGCAGATGTAGTATCTGACAGATCATATTTTACAAAATTGGACTAAACTTGATCATAAGGCAGACAGACAGTTTACCTTTAGTACAAATGACGGCGAAGGAATTCATGTTTGGTTATTCCAGCAGTCTGATGACTTTAGGAAACAACTTTTTGCCCAACTGGATAAACTTTGATAAACTGGGTTTAATTGATAGGGTAAGTAACATAAAAAAATATGTACCTAGACTTCTAAATTGTTTAGGAATTTAATAAACCAATAATAGTTAATCCGATAACCATTTAGAATTATTTTTGGATAAGCAAATTTTATCTATTGATTTTTATATTTAAATTTTTTAGTATTAACGCATATATTGATCCAGTTCATTATAAGCAGACGACACTATAAACAAACACAACTTATTATAGGCACTAAAAAACTGAAAGAACTAAGACATTTGAATATCTTGGATAAAAGCTAGTACAATAGTGACTAGAAAATGAAAATAAAAGTCTGATTGGCTAAAGTAGCTTTTGATAAATATGAAAAATATCTTATTCCGTCAAACAAAACTTTAAATTTTATAGTTCAGGTGGCTAAAAATAACGTCTGACCGAGAACTTAATCATTGCCCCAGTCTTGTGTAGCCTCATTTTGTAGGCACAGTAAACATTGGTGGATATTTAAATGGCGAAAAATACCTTAATATATTGGGAAATGAAATAATAGCCAAAATAACCGAAATAATCATAAATAATTCATCATATTTTCATCAGAACATAATTGTCTGGTAAAGATGGTGCTTCTTTCAATTATGGTACACAGGGTCTGAAATTATTTAAACAAAGTCTTTTCCAGATATCGGATTTGACGACATGGAACCACAGAATGGCCATTAAGATTACCAGGTATAACCCTATTAGATTTTGTTTAAAGGGTACCTAAACATATAGGTATTTCAAACAAATTAACAAAATCTTGCTGATTTACATTAGATAGATATACAATAATGTAGCAATATGACTAGAGAAATGTTAAATAATCTTGGAGAAGAAACAAAAATAAGTTACACTACTGTCAAGATTTTGAGGTTTTTTTATTAATATTTATTAATGTCATAGTTAAAAATTTTTTATAACTTAATCAGTTATTAATAATCAATAAATAAGCAAAAAGGCATTTAAAAAAAATTCTGCTTTTCCATAAAAAAAAAATATGGTGTGGCTCTCCTGATGAGGGTTATCGACATAACGAAAGTTTGATCGGGTTATAAGTTATACACAATAAGTTTAAAAATAGACGTATCCCAGATCTCTCGTTTAATCTCTACAAAAAATGAGTCGACAAAAAGGGGGTAAGTCTTTATTCTCCCACGGTATATATATATATATATATATATATATATATATATAATATATATATATATATATATATATATATATATATAAGGATCACTCAGACGAGTGGTGGGTTCTTATATCGGTCTCTAGGTGGAGAAATAAAAGACAAAGTTGATAGGCTACTTTATCTATTTTGAAGACGTTTCGCTTTCGAGTTTTGAAAGCATCATCAGTTCATCTAAAAAATTTTACAATATGAGAACCACACAATCATGGAAACGATGTTAATTGTTACCTTAAAAAGATATGTAGCAGTCAATGTTATTAACAAACATGTGAATGAAACTAAGTAAATGGACATAATACGCTGATCTTGTATAAACAGTTAAGCAACTAACAACATATGAACTTGTAAAAAATTAGCACAGCAAATGACCATGTGGTCTAAAGTAAATTCATGTTATTTAATGTTAATAAGTGAGTAAGAACCAAGAAAATCATAAATAACTTCCAACTATTTAATGGATATTAAGCTTTGATTTTAACTTTAGGTAGCATTATAAGTGATATTAATAAAATTTTAAAAAGTAGTATATATATATATATATATATATATATATATATATATATATATATATATATATATATATATATCATCATCAGTTGGCGCTACAGCCCTTCGTGAGCCCTGGCCTGCTTTATTGTTTTATAATTTGTTTTATTTATTGTTTATTTATTTTATTGTTTTATAAAGTTTGCACTTTGTTGCTATTATAATATATATATATATATATATATAATATATATATATATATATATATATATATATATAATGAATTTAGACTTTCCATTTTCAGACTACCTTAGAATAGTTTATGAAAATAGTAACAAACGTTGTGAAGCGTATGGCATAAGAAAAACAAGAAGACACAAATTCGTATATACCTTTATAATTTTTCGTAGTAAAATGTTATGTTAATATATCAGTGGCGTATTTTACGACAGTAACCAGGCTCTAAAAAAATGCTATTAAGAAAACCTCCAAAAAACAAATAATGAATTTGTGTTTTACAGATGGTTATTATCGTTGAATACTAATTAATTATAACTTATTTGTTATTAAGTCAATTGATAATTTATTTAAATTGATTTTAGATGTACAATTTCGAAGGAGATTACGAAACAGTATACAACGGGCAAAAGCTTGGCCTTGAGAATATAGGTTTAATCGAAAAATATAGAGGTGAGACTAAATTACCTCAATGGGACAGCCCATGCGGTGATATCACTGGCGCTTCGGACGGCACCAAATTTAAAGGATACACACAACCCAACGATACACACTTGTTTTTCAGAAAGAGTATGTGCAGAGCTAAAAAATTGGTAAGTTTAATGTTTTTTTACTTATAGTTACATTTGAAAAGTATTTATTTTGAAATTATTTGTCAATTCTTTTCTTTTTTACTTTTTTTTGGTTCATAGATCCATAATGACATTAAATGACATCTATCAAATTTTAGTCTTATGTTTTTTTATTCCTTTTCTCTATTCAGATTGCCGAATATAGGCCTCTCCTAATGCTCGCCATTCATCTCTGTTGGTTGTAAGACGTTTCTACATTGGCCCTGCAGGTCTTTTAATATCGTCGTATTTAATAGCGCATTTGCCGTCTTCCTCGTGGTCTTTTGGCTTCATATAGTTGCCAATTCCCGATTTCTTTACTTCATCGGTCATCCTTAAGACATTCGTTATGTTCAGCCCATTTCCATTTCAGTTTGGCTGCCTGTTCGACAGCATCTTTTACTTTTGTTCTATTATGAATGTCTTCATTGGTTTTATGGTCTTTGAGTGAGATACCCAGCATCTGTCGTTTCATAGCTCTCTGAGTTCTTTTGATCTTTTGCATGTTTATTTTAGTAAATGTCCAGGTTTAAGCTCCATATGTAAGTACAGATGGGATACAGGAATTAAACACTTTGTTTCGCAGTCTTTGAGGTATATTTTTATTGAGGTGTAATTATTGTACATATAAGAGTCTTACTGTCTTTTACTGTCTTACGGTGTCAGGCAGGGATGCATAATCTCGCCAACTCTATTTAATATCTACAGCGAACACATTATGCGAAAGGTACTAGACGGATGGAAGGGTGGTCAGTAGGAGGTCAAAAAATTAGTAACTTGAGATATGCTGATAGCACTTTAATAATTGCGGCGAATCAAGTATAAATAGAAGACATAATGGGATATCTTAAGGAGAAAAAAAACATATGGACTAAAACTAAATAGGAGTAAGACAAAGATCAGATAGTAGACAGAGCTCGAAATAATCTTTAACATATTAAAGAAAATGGTGGCTTTAAAGTAGTAAATAGTTTCATATACCTGGGGTTCCTAATAACAAATGACTGGGGGTGTAACAGAGAGATACGTAGGATAACTATTGCTAGAACAGCTCTGATGAAACTGGTAACAATTTGTAAAAATTCTATCATAACAATACACACAAAACTAAGGCTGGTAAGGGCACTCATTTTTTTCATACCCACATATGCATCCAAAACGTGGAGCTTAAAGAAAGCGAATAAAAATAAACTAGAAACTTTTAAAACCCACATTTCATGATATTGCCGCATGTTAAGACTATCCTGAATTGATTGTCACAGTAACGTTTGATTGTAAGATTGCTTAAATAAATACAACAGAGATATTTGCGGTATTTTGGAAACATTGCTAGAAGAACTGGTACGATGAAAAAATTGATAGTCGAGGGTAGAGTTAAAGAAAAGAGACCTAGGGGAAGATCTCCAAGCCGTTTTGTAGATCAAATAAAAATATTGAGTAACCAAGGGTTACATGAAGCCAAACAACTAGCCCAGGACAGGGAAGGATGAAGGGACGTCGTGAAAACTGTAAAGATCTGATGGTGTCACCACATCCTAAAAGGGATTATTCCGGTAGTCTGATTTTCTTTGCTTACTTTGACATTTTCACCCTTCTCTTCTTCATGTGCCTTGTCCGTTCCGAATGTTGGCAATCAACATGGCTATTCTGAATTTGTTTACGGCAGATCTGAATAGTTCAGCAGATGACAATCCGAACCATTGCAGCAAGTTTTGGAGCCACGAGTGTATTCTCCTCCCTGGACCCCTTCTGCTGTCTATTTCCCCTAAACGATCAGCTGTAGCACTCTATATTTATTATGTCTCATAACATGACCCAAGTATTCCAACTTTCTTTTTTTACACTTATTCCTACCTCTCTCTCTTTACCTATCTGGCGTAGTACCTCTTCGTTGGTCACGTATTCAGTCCAGGATATACGTAATATACGTCGGTAACTCCACATTTCGAAGGCCTCTACTTTTTTCATCAATGTTGCAGTCATTGTCCACGCCTCCATTCCATATAACAAAACCGGGAATACATAACATTTCAGAAATCGAATTTTGAGAGGTAGGGTGAGGCTTTTAGAGGTGAAAATTTGCTTCATGCTAGTGAACGATGCTCTTACCTTTTCTATTCTTATACGTATTACCTTCGCTTGATCCCAATTTGAGTTAACTGTTGTTCCCAAGTAGATGTACGAATCCACGTGTTCAATTCTTTCATTGTCTAATATCAGTTGCTGTGGTGGTTGTTGGGTTTTGCCAATTCCAAAGTGCGAATCTCCAATGTTATCCTTGCATTTTTTGCTTATTCTGTTGTACATAACCTTGGTGTATGCCTTCGAAATGTGGTTAATTAGACTTATCATCCGATGTTATTCACAAGACTTTGCTTTTGGGTTTTTTCGGTATGGCAACCAAAGGTTGACTCTAGCGAGTCTTCAGGAAACTCCCCGCTGTTATAAATATTGAAATACATTTTCACCCAGATATGTATATTCATTAATGTGTTCTATCTCTGTCCCTTCGATGTTTATCATAGGTTTGTCATCTTTGTTTGACATTAGTTTAGTTTTGCTGAAATTCATTTTTAGTCCTTTTTTTAGGGATTATGTGTATAGCTGTATTAAGTGCATTCCACGTGTCGGCTATTAATAATACATCATCTGCGTATCTAAGATGGTTTAAGTAATTTCCGCTAATAGGTATTTCCTTATTTTCCCAGTATGTTTACTTAAAGATATCTTCTAGGGCAGCTGTAAATAAGTTTGGAGTCAAAACAGTCTTATGTTATTGTCCGCTAATTAGCCTATGCATGAGTTGCTTTGTATTCCAAGTGGTTACCACTTTTATATTATTATAGTCCTCTTCCTCATTCCTTAAGCTCTTGTCAGAGAGTGGTGATACTTGAAATATTGTTAGCATGTTGTTTCCATTAGCTGTGTTCCATGGACGGCTTTATGTAAGGTTTTTCGTATTAAAGTCAAATCAGAGAAAACATTTTAAAGCAGTTCGCGACAGATGGTTACGATCCGCCTTTCTGTTTACTATTTAAATTTTTCCCTGTTTTTAATTAGGTACTTTACTACACAGGTAATTTACGTAATTTCATTGTTTAATTTTAAACGAGCTATTTCTTTTGCTTTGTAAAAGTGCTAATAATTACAAATAATGACAATTATGAGTTCTTCATACATAGCCTACTAAAATAGAACAATAAAAATCTTACCTTTACAATTTAACAATATTTATTTCCAAGTATTAATTTTAGTTATAGGAAACTCTTAGGTATATTATTTGAAATATAGTTCATTTTTGTTATTAAAATTATAAAATTGAGGCTGTTTTATTTAAAATTATTGACCCACCATTGTTTGAAGTTTCAAGAAATGGTGTATTATGTTAAAACACCCTGTATTAAACACCCTGAGCATCTTTCATTTTTAAAACAAAAAATAGTCATTACTGCTTGATTTTCTAGCATTTATCTAATTAAAAGGCTACAAAAGAAAATAGTGTAATATCAAAACGAATTATAATCAATATAAAAATTACGAGTAAACTTGAATAAAATTGTCTATTTACTTCGAAAAGATTGACTCTATCGTCAAAATTTTTTAAAACAGATGAATAACTCAAAAAATAGTTTTATCCTATGATTTTCTTCCTCTTCTTCTTCTTCTTCTTCTTCTTCTTCTTCGGCCCTTAGTAATTCAACTTTGGACATAGTCCTCCCCCAAATCAATCCAGTGTTTTCTATTTTGCGCCACTTGCTTAGAGTTATGTCCTCCAATCTTCTTAATGTCATCAGTCCATTTCATTTGTGGTCTTCCTTTGCTTCTCTTTCCTAACCATGGTCTTCATTGTTGTATTTCGTGGTTCTATGTCTTATCCTTCAGTAGGGCATTGTGTCCTGCGAAGCTCCATTTTAATTTAGCAGCATGTTGTGCTGCGTCTTTTACTTTAGTTTTGCTTTCAATCCAGTTATTTGTTTTTTTGTCTATAAGTCTCACCCCGAGCATTGATCGTAAATTCTGGTTTTAAGAATTAATCGATTTTAGTGCTTTTAAAAATCCAACTCAGTTTTCCAAATCCTTCCCACCTAACCTTATTCTTCTGGTAATTTCGGTAGTTTGATTTTCTTTGTTAACTTTCTTTATCTTTTTGACAATTAGAAAATGAAAGATAATTGTCTTATGATACCACATGCAAATTGTGACTAGAATATTAATAAAATGTTTTATTTTAAATTACCAAGTTGTTAACATCCGGTATTACTAGAATTAGTGGCATGTCTGTATATTTTTTATAAATTCATCATAAATTGGTATCCCCATAAACTCATTTTCATAAATATCGTGTAAATAGTTTTCGACATATTTATAGATAGTATAAGCTAGTCGTGAAACGTTCAGTATGTATATTATTAATTTTTTGTTTTAGATAAAAGTCAATGAAACAGTAACGAACGGTTTAAGAGCTTATGTTTACCACTTTGATCCAGAAGCTGATGATAACGGAAGAGAACACGAATATAACAAATGTTTTTGTAAAGATCCACAAAACTGCCAGCCAAAGGGTCTTTTAGACGTTCGTGGTTGTTATTATGGATTCCCGATAGCTCTAAGTTATCCACACTTCTTGGATGGAAATGAAAGCTTATCAAATAATGTTATTGGAATGAAACCGGATCCTAAAACACATAAATCCTATTTCATTATTCAACCAGTAAGTTAAAATTTATATTTCTGCAGCATGTTGATAAATTAAAATTGTATTAAATCAAATTAGAAAAATAATATAAATTGTCTTAAACTTAGATTCAAATTGTAATTAATTATTTATTTTAACCCCCTCTGTGGCTTAGTGGTAAGAGCGCCTACCTTTAAACCTAAAGGTCGTGAGTTCGAATCTCATCAGGGTGGAGAAATTTTCGTTTATTAAAAATTAGTAAATGAAAATTTCTATCCTTGTGCGATCGGTACTAACCGGAGGGACCGTAGACGTTTGGATACAATTAGCGTCTCTTAGCAAAGACAATGACGTCGACTTTGCTAAGTATCAAAACAATTACTCTACACACACACACACTACACTAGGTACCTGACTGTACCATGCCAATGATCTTAGTTGTCGAGGCATTAACTCAATAATAATAATAATAATTATTTATCTGCTTTTAAGTATGATTATAGTTTCGCCTTGAACTCACATAAGTTCAGTTAATGTCAAAAATGCAATGTCAAATCCCAATTGAGAAGAAAATATAGGTATACAAAAGAAATATATATCTAAAATGTAGGCTTTCACATGTAAAGTTTTGCAATGATATATGCTTTCCGATTTTAGAGGCACTGGCCTGGAATTATCTGATCGCAACTCTGCATTGCTAATTCAATATCACTTAATATGTAGATAAAACGATAAAACGACAGACAGAAATAATTACCAACATCGGTAAACAACTCGTTATATCTCACTCTCTCTCTCTCTCTCTCTCTCTCTCTCTCCTCTCTCTCTCTTGGCGTTTCATCATCATTGAGGATCTTAATTTTCTCCAAGATTTCTAACAAATTTTCTCCATTGGGCTCTAGCTTCAGCTGCTCTAAGACTTAGGCGGAATAACTAGCCTCTAAATTTGGTCGGACCATCTGGTGCGTGATAGTTGTTTTGCTCTTATCCCTGAAACGTTTCCAGAAATATTTAATCTCCCTAAATCATCCTTACTAAAGAACAAAGACCAAAGAACTGTAAAATTTACTGCACCTAGGTTGAAGAGAGCTTTCTTTTAATGTAAAGTTGGTTAAGAATGAAAACATTTGTCCAATGAACTGTCCAAGATATACGCAGCATTCTTCTTCAACACCACATGTCAAAGGCAACAATTTTTTGCAAAGGTGCATTAACCAGACCAGTCTTTCCAAACTATAGTTAAACGACTCATCGCGAATGTTGCCATACTAATGTGTCCCGGAGCTTCTTCTTCGCAGTTGCTATAGTTAGTTCCGTAAACTTAAGCTGTTTACTGCCTTATATCTCTGCAAGTTTTTAGTGAGCTAAAGAGTAATAAATCTGTTTACCACCAATAATTTTGTATTGCTTGTAATAATTTTAAGACCAACTTATGAGTTTATGGGTTTTTCTCTCAACAATTCACATGAAATCTAGCATTACTTGTTCATTTGCTGTTATAAATTTAGTGCCATCATGAAATCTCAAATTGGAGACATCCCATCTGTCACCGCTAATGCACAAACTGTTCCTTCTAAAGACATCCTCACGACATGTTTTCCATAAATATTGCATAAGTCAGGTGACAAAATACATCCTTGTCTAACTAGTCTGTCTATCTGCTCTGAATTGAGAATTTCTAATCTAGTCGTAATGTTGCCATATTGGAGTGATACAAATTTTTAATAAATTTCACCAGGTGTATCGCTGTAGAGACGAAGCATATTATTATCTCGACTTTTCAATGAGTTCTTTCCGGTTCATGATTTGCTGACGTATTTACTTTTTCCTTAGATAAACCAAAGACATTGTTTAATTTACTAAAATTAAAATGTGGACTGCAAAACGTTGATATATAATATTTGTAACTTATGAATAAACGTTACTAAATTGATGATAAAGAAAGCAAATTCACAATATTCTTCGAGGTTTTTAGATGAAATTAACCTCATATTTGGTGAAATATTGTAACCAGAAAGACAAAACCATATATCACCTGGAAAAAGAAATGGGATCAGGTAATAATAGCGTTATCAGGTTTATGCCAAAATATTGTTAATCGAATATTTCCCCAAAATCAGATTATCTTTTTTCTCTGTAATGAACGAGAGGAAATAATCTGCTAAGGCATTACCTCAAATTTATAAGCCCTGCTATTCGTTTCGACCTGGCTCACTTCTTGCCTTTTGAGAGTAATGATGCCAACCATAATGTAGCTTTTCCTTTTAAAAAAAATTAAATTGTTTGTCCTTGTGTAGTGTAGTGTAATGTACAATTTTATGTTTATGACATTCTCCACAATATCTTGGAAATGCCAAAATTGACGAAATGCCCCTAAAAATGCTCTAGGAAGCAAAAGTACTTGGGTAAGATTTAATTAATAAATTATGCTCGATATCTGCCTTTTCATTTGATCAAATCATCATTTGATCAATCATTTATTCGAGCATTCAACCTTATATCAATCAAAAATATTCCAGTCTAAGATTTTTAACTGTTTGACTACTTCCGCGTCTCTCCGATCCATAGCAAAACAACCTCGTTACCATCAATTAGCCAATTGCGTCCACTGCTGGACATAGGCTTCCCTCAGTTCTTTAAAGTGGTCTCTACACTAGGCCACTTGTAGCCAGTTTCCCACTACACGTTTTATACGATCGGTCCATCTAGTCGGTGGTCGTCCTCGGCTTATTTTATAGTTTCTGGGCGTCCATTCCATAATACGTCTTGTCCACCGTCCATCTTATGTTCTGGCTAAGTGTTTTGCCCAGTTCCACTTAGCGTCGTGGTTCTTTCGATGACGTATTGAAGTCCTGATCTTTGCCTGATTTGTTGGTTTGTTATGTGGTCTCGAAGGCTCACGTTCAGCATTGCACCTTTCATGGCTAGTTGTGTAACTCTGAGTTCATTCGCAGATTTTTGCGTGAGTGTTAAAGTCTCTGCTCCATAAGTTTGTACAGGTAAAACACATTGGTTATAAACCTTTCGCTTGAGACACATGGTCTCAACTATGTGTCTCAACCTCGTTACGAACTCTATTTAATAAATTTATTAGTTAGGAGTTTCCGATACACCCAGACTTTAAAGACTTTCAGCTTTCTGAGAAGTGTATCTGTCGAGGTCCAGCCTTTGACATCATCTTAAAGAGTAGATGATACATACCTTGTTGGTTATTATAATTCTCTCTGTTGGATTTCCTAAGTTGCTGTCCATAAGCTGGTTACACTTTTAGTTGTATTGGCTTCAGTCCATATTTTTCAAAGACTGTGGTAATCCTATTAATTAGTAGTGGAAGGTCTTCCTAACTATTTGCAATTAACACGGTGTCATCTGCGTACCTCGGGTATTAACATTAACGCTACTAATTTTAATACTACTTTGATTTATATACAATGCTTATTTAAAAATAAAGTTAGAATAGATAACAAATATTGACAGGGACAAAATGCAGCCTTGTCTTTAGTAAAATGCAGTCCATTAGTAAAACGTACACAATATTTTCACTTAAAATACAAAAACTATGAATATATTTAAAGAGCTCCAGTTTTTTTTTAATTTTTGAATAAGATTATTTACATTTCACAAGCATTTGTGTACCAGTTATTGCCTCTTATAATACATTCCCTTCTTTTTAGGATTCTGGCCTTCCACTTGAGCTGGCAGTAAGGTTCCAAATCAACATGCATTTGGGAAATATTAGAACTATTGCCAACTGCGAGAGATTTGACAATATGGTGCTTCCCCTTTTGTGGACAGAGAATGTAAGTAATTTAAACTGTTTTAACTATAATTTTAGAAAATTAATACACAAGTAAAAAACTTCAAAATGTGCATATTGGTATAAAAACATTTAATTGAAACTTGTTAAAAGTGTCATTCAAAAATTAGAGATGCATAACGTTTTCGATCTAGCTCAGATCACCCTCATTGCATTCTTTTTGTACTTGTAGCTAACACTAAAATTTCAGTGAAGACATAAATATATGATATATTAGCCGATATATTTATGAAAGATTTTGAAACAAATATTATTTCTAAACGAAATTTAAAACCCATAGTATGATAGAGATATGTAGATGATGTATTCTTAATATGCCCTCATGGACAGAGTTGTTGGACACATTCCTGAATGATATAAACGATAAAGAAGAGACAATAACATTTACCATGGAAAGGGAATATAATAACACACTACCTTTCCTGGATATTTTAATCTCCAAGTACGATACTGCATATGAGATTTAGGTATTGGGACCGTGCAAGTTCGCAACAGCGACATCTGGTGTCGTAAATCAGCCAAATTTACTGCGCTTTCATGTTAGATCGAGGTTATTGGATAACTGTCAAGGAAGTGGCCCAAAAAAAGAATAAGAAGAAAAAGTAAGATTGAGGTTATGTCGGTATGTTATTAAAAGGTAAACGTTGATGTAGCGTAAATACAAATAAATATATTATTGAATTACAGCATTACTGTTACTATGGATGCAATAATAAAAACTGGATTTGAGAAAGTAAATCACCAAATAACTTTTCAACCAAGCACGAGTCAAAGGGAAAAGCTTTACTTGTGGCAAATGTCAAAAAAGAATGGAAGAGTTATGTGGAGTGGAAGAATTAAGAAAAATAAATTACCATAAATAATGTTAATGCATAAATTAGCAGGTTAAGCCCATGATATCATCATATTGGTTTGAACAATTAATTCTTTCCCTGTAAACTTTTGGACAGCGAATATATCTTAATGCATCTTCAGAAAAACTTGAACTTGATGCATTTTTGTAAACTTCAAAAAAATAAAATTTAAACAATAAACTTGATTTTTGGGTTAAAATGAACTCTAAGTGAGTGTTATGAAACTAAAATTTACACTTAAAAGTGAACTTTTATTTAATATTTATGTTAAACTGACTTTAAAATTGGACGCAAGAATAATGCATAATTTAGGTTATGTTACTTATGCTTTTTTATAATATAAATCCACTTTTCTCTTTGTAGTAGCTTTGTGCTTCAAAGTTGGAAACGAATAAAACTTAAATTGACAATTTTTTGTTGTATTTTTACAATTTATAACACAGCATTTCCTAAATCCCATTTTCTTCAGTGATAGAAGGTGTAAATAAACAAAACGAATATGAAATATGACAATTGACAATATGAATTTATGAAATCTATAATCTATGAAATGTGCATTAAAAAATGCAAGATTTCTCCACTACTCGCGCACGATCGTTTCTCGTATCCCCTCCAAGTACTTGCACGTCGCCAATATAGAAAATCAACACACACTAACAGATATTTAAATTTCAAATAAAAATCACAATATTAAAAAGGGAATCATTAAATCTGTATCCGATAGAGCCAAAATTGCTTGTTCTAACGAAAATTTGTTCCTGGAGGAAAAACGTTTGTTAACATCGGTTTTATTAAAGAATGATTATCCTTTATCGTTTATAAATCAGAAATTTCTAGGAACCGACCGAATAAAACAGAACAACTTAGAACGAGATCCTACAGCATACACAAGGAATAATACGAGGAAAATAACAATACCATACATAAAAGGATTATCAGAAAAACTTAAAAGGATAGGAAATCAATTCAACATTTTAACAACATTCAAAACCACAAACGCATTGAGATATATTTTGTCCAAAACCAACAAGAAACCTAAAAATGAACAAGAAAGACCAAATAATTGGTCTTTCTTTCATTATTTATAAAATACCTTGTGAATGCGATCAGTTTTATTTAGGTAAAACATCACGGCCATTAAATGTTAGAATAAGTGAATATCAATCTTATATTAAAAATAGAGAATTTGATAGATCTTAAATATGTAAACACGCATGGGATAATGAACATGGGGTTTAATGGAATAATTCAAATATAGTCCTAAAAGAAAAGAAGTGGGAAAACAGTAAAAAAATCAAAGAAGTGGCCCTAATTATGCTAAATCAGACTAGTTGTGTCACAAATTCTTTGGCAGAATGTAGTAGGATCTGGTTACGCATAATAAAAGGAGGAAGTTATTAAAAGGAAAATACCAGTATTAGTAAGTCAGTAACATATACGTCAGTAACATCATTTATGTTTTCTAAATAACAAACATGTTAAATTAGAATTTGATGTTTGTTGAAAGTAAACTAAATGCACGACCAAATACTTACCATGTCGGGATAGTATTATGAAGTTTTTTTCCTGATTTTTCTCTCCGATTTCCGAAGTGGAAATTGAAACATCAATAAACTTACTTTAACCTTTAATTATGACTTATTCCCATTTATATAGTAATTACTTTAAAACTCCACAAGTAAATACCTTCAGAACAATATTAATTTTTTATAATTTTAGAATGGGGATTGATTGTTAATATTAGTTCAAATTTAAATTACTTTAAAATTTAACTACATGCGAGTATGCAACCAATGTTGCAACTAGTATAATAAATATTATAGATTTTATAAAAGTATTTACATCAAAGCCTTTTATCATAAAGAAAACACGTAAACAATTCGTTTTTAGTCTGTATATATGTATTAGAGGATCCAACTTCTCCTCCGCCAATCCCCCGATCCAAAGCATGCTACTCCTCTAAACCTCTCGATTCCATCTCTCTTCTAATTCCTTCATTCTATGAGCACCAAGGTCTATTTTTTTTTCTTCTTCCAGGTGGCTTCCATCTGTGAATTTTTTGGGGTCAACGTTCGTCATTCATTCTCAATAGGTATAGAAACCATTTTAAACCTTTTCTTTCTATTCTGCCAATGACCCTGTCTGTAGCATTCATGTTATTTCTTATAGATTCGTTGGTCTTACTTTTCCAGCCTTAATCTTCTAGCACTTTTTCTCAAGTAATCTATTTTAACTGCCAACAATCTTCTATTCAGTTCTGCATTAATTGTTCATACTTCAGAGCCATAACAAAGAACTGATTCAACCATGGTTTACCCTATTCTTTTTTTGTTCCTTTTGGAAATGTTGCGATCCCACCATAAGGAGTTTAGACATCCTACAATTTTAAGTCCCCGAATAATTCAGTGTTTAATTTTGGTTTCTCACAAGCCGTTCTTGTCAATAAGTGCACCTAAATATTAAAATTTTTTCATTTGTTTGATTTCCACGTCCTCGTCTATCAACACTTCAAACTTTACATCTGAATTGATAACTAAATATTATGTTTTCTTCATGCTGACTTGTAACCCCCATTTTACATATTCTCTGTATAAATGCTTCATCATAAATTCTGGATCATAAGAATCTTGAGCTAAGATGACTTGGTCATCCTCAAAGTTCAGAGAGAACAGTACGTCATTTAATATGGGGATTCCCATTCCCTAGCAGTGGTGTTTCCAATTTTGGAGGACTGCCTCAATATATAAACTAAACAGTAAGGGTGACATATTGCATCCTTTTCTTAGTCCCTTAGTTACTTTTATTGGCTCTGATAGTCTATTTTCGATCTTTAGGTAAGTAATGTTATCTCTGTATACTTCTGTGATTATTCCTAAAAGGTATGGACTAATGCCGAGTTGCTGTAAAGCTTGGCACAATTTAAATCTTGGAACTGTACTGTAAAACGACTTGGGAACGACCTTTACTCCAACAAAAGTCGATTATAGACTATATAATAATAATATAGAAAAACCAAGACTGCAGACTAAAAAAAGGATCTAACTCTGGGACAGATCACTTCTTTCTTTTTAATCTGTAATATCCAAAAACTTGTTTTACTTCGTTTATCAATATAATAATTTACTCATTCAAAAACCCCTATTTATAATGTTCAATATTTAGCAACGTCTTTTGCAATATAATTGTTAGTGTTTCTATATAAAATTAAATAAATATTAAGCATCTGAAATAATGAGAAAATTCAAGATCATTTACAGATATGGTGGTAAATGTATTGACAGAAAAATAAAAATGAGTGTTATGCATTAATATAATAATATAATTTGCTTATGTCTGTCAGTCTGTTAGTAATCAAAAACTCCATCGAACAACGCTACTAGCAAAAGAGCAATACACCTTATCGTTATTACTAAACGTAAAGATTCTGTGGCAGATGCATATACTATGGAACCTTAATTTATTTTAGATCTTTATTTTTAAGATTTTACATACATGGGTTAAGCAGTTATAGTCCGCTCTATAATTTTTATTAGACAGAGTTTTCATAAGATGGATTCCGTTTTGGCATGGATTTTTAACCATGCCATTCCATTCCATTTATAATATAATTAATTCTTAAAAGAATCAAAATTATAATTCTTAAACAATATGGTCGATCGGTCTGTTGCCAATATTTGCTTCCTTCAAGACGGACAAACAAGACAAAATGACCAACATTAATTACTTCGATTCGAAACAGTGACCTTAACCTGTCCAAAATACATTCTGATGTTAGCAAAATTTAATATCAGGCCTTATGGCTGGACAACTTATTATACATTGTAGACATTTTTAATGTATCAGTCTGCCAAAATAACATTATTACATGTCGTTATAATCATATAATCATCTACTTTTATTTTTGATGTATGTTAGTTTGGATGTTATATTTAATAATTATGATAATTCCGTTACAGAGGCTATACAAGTTACCAGAGCCCCTAGCAGTTCGCTTCCGATTGTACCTAAACGTCCTTCCTCTCGTAGAAAAATGTATGATGATAATTCTTCTTGGAGGTGGAGTATTATTCTTTTTAATTTCCTTATATAAATTCGTCAGAATAACAAAAGAAGGTCCACATACCAAGAACCGTGGATCGAAGACGAACTAGTCTACAACATTGATAGAAAATTAAGCAGTTACATTCCCGAGAAATCTTCATCGCTAACAGCAAAGGAATTAGAAGTTTACATGGATAGTATGGTTCCTCTAACAGATGATATTCACAAAGAACATGAACACAGTCAGGACGAACATGAAATTACTAATGATCAGAGTGTTCTAGTATACGATTAGAAGAATTTAAGATTCTGATTTTACAGGTGTAAGTTTGTTCACTACACGCATTGTGATAAAGGCCTCCTTAGTTATGGGTATGTTTCATATACACTAATTATAATAAGGAGCTAAAATGTAATAATCTTCTGTAAAATGATGATTGTACTATTGCGATTGATATAATTTAGGTTGAGAAATTTTTTTACTAATGTGTTTTTTCTCAATAATCAACAATAGGTTAATTCATAGTTATAACAAACATTTGGCATTAAATATCTAATTACTAAGTTAGTGAAAATCTGTAGTAAATTATTATGAAACTGAAAATTGTTAAGGGGGTTAGGTATTTTTTAATTAATTATTGTTTTTAATTATAGGGATTGGAATTTTAAACCATGTTCAAGTAATTTAGTTATTTATATACAGCCTGAAGGTATTATGCAGGGCATTTTCTCAATACTAGGGATCATAAATCACTTTTTATAAAGCACTAACCCTTTTTTGATATTCCGGTATTGGCTTGGTAATTGTAATAGTATACTAACCATGGGAAATGTACTAATGTTGTATTCAGTCCTAACATAAATATAGGAATACATAATTTAAAGGCTGAGTAAAATTAATACCTCAAGTGTAATCGAGGGAACAGACTAATCAGTTAAAATAATAGAACATGTTACATTCTTCATATATGACAGGCACTATCTATATTTTGAATACAATAAAATATATATACCCGGTATTTAGGCCGCACACGTCCTTCCGGTAGAGATCTATGGAGGAGTATCACCGAGACGCAAGCCCTTATCTCTTGCCGTACTGCTCCACCATAGGCCGATTAGATACCCGCATATTCTAGACTAAGCCGCAGATTCATTTAGAATTTTAAACTGCTGGGGTAGCCTTTTTGTTTTCTGTTCACCGAGCTGGAGATTGAACTGACATCTCTCGCATTGAAGCGAATGAGAAGCCAGTCGCCCAGCCCGCTTGGCTATCCGATTGACATGAATACAATATCCTATGAATATCCTATGAATAAATGTCCTATGAATACAATAATAATAATTAAAAAAAAACAGTTGTCTGTCGTTTAAAATGACTTTTGTTTTCTAAATATTCTCTTGTATTATTTGTTTACTTTTGCATGCGCTGGAACCAATTGCAAAAAGATTTTTTGTTGTGCTTGAGGCATATTTAAAACATGGAATATGAAGGCATATAATTTTTTTTCTACCAACTAAAATCGATATCTAAGCAATTTCTTATACGTTTTTCTACTACTAATCGCTACTATCTTCTTCTAAATGTGCCTATCTTCTAGAGATGTTGGCGACCACATTGACCCATCTTAGTCTATTCACAGCAGCTCGAAATAGATCAGTTGATGTTAGACTAGTCCATTTCCTGAGATTAGCTAGCCAGGATATACGTCTGCGTCCAAAACCTCTTATGATCTTACGCATGATGTGGCCAAATTCTTATACGTATATTCATACTTATAATGTGTATATTAATACGTATAAAGATAAGTTGCAGATAATCTTCCTAAGGCTGCTGCAATATGAGTTTTTATTTCGTAGCTGTGATCCCAGTATCCTTAATGTTGCAGCCCAAATAGCATATTTTTTCCAATCTTTCTAACGGTGTATCGTTAATTGTAATTTGGGCGTTTATGCCGGTGTTCTTACTAATATTAATTATTTTTGTCTTCTTTTAATTTAGTTTTAGGCCATATTTGTTACATGCTTCTACAACATTATCCATCATCCTTTGGAGCCCCTGCGCACTGTCTGCCACAACACTGTATCGCCTGCATATCTAACGTTTTTAAGTTGACCATTTACAGCAATCCCATCTTCTGATTCGTCCAAGGCCTCTCTAAAGATGTTTTCAGAGTATATGTTAAATAATGCCAGTAACAAAATGCAACTCTGTCTAAGTCCATTTTCGACTGTGAAGATCTCGGAGAGTTCATTTTCTAATCGTACTGTTGCTTTTTGTTGGAAATATAAGTTTGAGATCAGTCTTATATCCTTACCATCGAGTCCTGATGATTTTAGAATACAGATTAGTTTATCATGTGCAACTTCATCAAATGCCTTCTTAAAATCAATGAAACATGCATACACATCGTAGTTGACATCCCTTGCTCTCTAAATTAGAACTTGCAAACTAAAAAGTGCTTCTCTTGTTCCGAGTCCTGCTCTGAATCCAAATTGAACTTCACTCAAGTGTTCTTCTAATTTGTTGTATATGCGCGAGTGAATGATAGAAAGGAGTACTTTAAGTACATGGCTCATCAAACTAATTAATCCATGTTCTTCACATTTTCTAGCGTTGGCTTTTTTAGGGAGTGGAATGAATATTGATAGTAGCCAGTCTTTTAATAAGTAACCAGTCTCGTAGATATTGTTGAATAGCTTCGTAAGAGCTGTGATTTGGTGTGACTCTAATAGCTTTAAGATTTTAGTTATGTAGGTAATTTTTGGCAAACTTCTTCTTCTTCTTCAAGTGCCGTCTCCATCAATGGAGGTTAGCGGTTATGGTGGCAAACGTTTGTCTATCTTCAGCTGCTCTTAAGAGATCCTCAAATCCAAGTCCTGTCCAGTTTTTGATATTGCGTAACCAGGACAATTTTTTTTCTTCCAATTCCTCGCTTTCCTTCTATTTTGCCTTTTATTATCAACTGAGGGATGTAGTATTTCTCGTTGCGCAACAAATGTCCTAAATAACTGGTTTTTTTTCTTTTGACTGTTCTCAATAGTTTCTTTTTCTAAATTGAGTCTAGCTAGTACTTCTTCATTTGTTTTTCGTGCTGTCCAAGGAATTTTTAAAATTCTACGGTACACCCACATTTCAAATGCCACGATTCTATTCAGGCTCTTTATTTTTAAAGTCCACGTTTCGACTCCGTAGAGACGAACAGACCAGATAAAACATTTTACAAGTTTTAATCTCAATTTAATATTTATATGTGTATCGCAGAATAGAACGCGCATCTTAAAGAAACTATCCCTAGCTTGAGCAATTCTCGCTTTAATTTCTTGTTCTGGGTCCAGCTTGCAATTAATCCAACAGCCAAGGTATTTGTATTGGTTTACCTGTTCTAAAATATTCCCATTTATTTTTATAGGTAAGGGGATATTCTGTTTTCTTTGGATCACCATTACTTTTGTTTTTTTTTCGTTGATCTTCATTCCAAACTCTCGACAAGCATCCTTAAGGTGGTCTATAACCCTCTGTAAGTTTGTGTCTGTATCAGCCAGTAGGACAGTGTCATCTGCATATCTTATGCTAGATATTGGTTCTCCATTAATTTTTATTCCTGTGGAAAGGTTTTCCAAGGCTTGCTTGAATAGTAGTTCCGAGTAAAGATTGAACAGCATAGGGGATAGTATGCATCCTTGCCTTACTCCTTTATTTATACTAATATTTCTAGATGTATGATCGTCGATCCTAATCTTGGCACTCTGCCTCCAATATAAGTTCTTAATTAATCGGAGATCTTTACTATCCAAGTTGATGCTCTGCAAGGAATTTAACATTTTATTATGGTTTACGCGATCAAATGCCTTTTCAAAGTCTACAAAACATAGAAAGACATCCTTTTGTTGGTCGTAACACTTCTGCAGCAGTACTTGTAATGAAAACAAGGCCTCTCTGGTCCCCATTCCGGCTCTGAATCCAAATTGATCGTATCCAACTTCTTTTTCACACCTTTTGTATACCCTATTGTGAAGTATTTTTAATAGAATTTTAAGCACTTGGCTCATAAGACTTATTAATCTAAAATCTGCGCATCGCCTGGAGTTAGCTTGTTTTGGAATGGGAATAAAAATAGATTCTAACCATTCCTCTGGTATTTCCCCAGTATCGTAGATTGTATTAAACAAAATTACTAACAAATCAATGTTATTACTTTCGATCAATTTAAGTATTTCAGGATAAACTTCATCAGGTCCAGGGCTTTTGTTGGTCTTTAATTGTTTAATGGCATATTCCACTTCGACTTTTAGAATTGGTGGGCTTTCAGTAACATTATTTATTGTAATGTCTATTCTTTCATCTTGGAACAGCTGTTGTATAAATTTTTCCCATTCTTCTATTTTATCTTTGGTGTCAAACTTCTTAATCATTATTATTTGTGTGTTTTTTGTGTTCTTTTGCATTGCATAGTTAGGTTTGCCATTTTCTCTCCAGAAAATCCTCAACTCTATGTTAACAAATAACAGTTTTTGATATATTTTTTTATTATTTCTAATAGCGCGATCAAATTTGCCATTATCAGACTATTTATATATGTTGTACCACTTATAAAATTAAAGTTTTATGATGTGCAAATGCTTTTAATATAAGTATTTGTCATAAAATTAGCGACACGAAATAGTTCTAAACCCATTTACTTGACGGGCTCAGTTTTACAACATGCAAATTTTTCATTTAATTAGGGATAAAAAATAACCATTTAATTACCTTAATTTAATTTTTAAATACAAAAACTGAGATATAAAAATGGTTATTTAAAAAAAACATGAAAAAAAGACATGAAAAAATTTAAAAAAAAACTGATTGTCATATTTTAAACATGTGGTCTGGAAATGACAAACGTGATCCAGCTATTAGAAATACCGAAAAAAGATATTAAAAATCGTTCGGTATTTACATGGAGTTGAGTTTTTGTGGTAAAATGTGTAGAACAATACCGAAAAAGTGGATATATTTTAATTTTAGGGATGTTCCGCACAGAAAATGGCAAATTTAACCACTTCATTAAAAAAACACGAATAAAACATACAAAACATAATTATTTAGAATATAGACAAGACAGTTAAAATTTATTTTCATTTATAGTGATTTTACAACTCGCTTATACATATTTTGTCCTTTTCTAGAATTCATCAGAGCACATCAGTAGAAAGCCCTAAACGTAAAATCAAATCACGTGGATTAGTAACTGTTAAAGTTACTGATTTGGTGACATCTAGGGGGTTACTTGGTGTACTAGCTTTTTCAATAGGCTTTATGATTTTTTCTAGATATTCGGAAATTTATTTCCCTGGTTGTTTTTATTTATCCGAGTGTTTTATCTAGTGCTGGTTCAGGGTCGTTGACTATGTCTGCATTGTTGTTTTCTATATAGTTGTTATACAATTCTTTACATTCAATATTCCAGTATTCTTTACAATACCTTCTAGAAATGCACTTTTTTGCAGTTGAGATTACATCACACCTGCAAATCTAGCATCATTTTCAGGTATTGATGAGATCTATCTTTCAACTTTGTCTAATTCAAGAGAGAATTTTGTTTAGTTTGTATTTTAAAAGTTTTACAGCTGTATGGGTAAGTACCGGATTATTGGATCTGAGAGCTTATTTCATATATTATATATAACTGGGCAGTATTAGATGTGTAAAAAAAGACTTTTCTGATTAAAAGCACTGATTGATTCTGGGAATTTTGCGTTAAGAAGCACAACTCTAAGTTGTAGTCTCTGTTCCATGTTGAGGATCTGAAGGTACCCCTGTAGGAAAATAACTAAAGGTAAATTAAAAATCAACTGTTTATAAGTTTCAAGTACTTATAACCAACAGATAAGCAGATGCTTAGAATTACTGAGGATTTACTTATACTGTAGCCACTGTTAAATATGATTGATGACGTGCGTATGAAACAAAAAAATAGAGTATATAATGTTTGTTTGATCCCTAGTAAGCATTGTTAAAGAACTTTATATATAGTTATAGCAAATAAGGTTAGTTTGAAAAAGCTGGGTATTTATGTTAATAAAGTTTTGAGATTTGTTAAAGCCTCGTTAATCTGATATCCCTGAGAGTACTTAAAAGCATTATTATATTTGTTTGATGGTATATTTGCTTAAAGTAATAAGCTAAAATATACCAAATATTTAATCAAAAATTAACATATTTTTAGGTTCAGAAATTAGTTTTTGTCTTTAGTTACTATTTCTCTATGAGGTTCCAACCTGTATATCCTTGATTGCCAATGAAAAATCTGTTCACTTAATTGCCGAGGCTTGACTTTTAATCTATTATAGTAAATTAGAAAATGTAAGTAAACATGTAGTTCATATATACCCAGCTATTAGCAATAATTTTAGTTTCCATATTTATTGTGAGCCATTATAATTCTAGTTGCCATTTTTATGTTGTAGACACCCATTTGGTGTTTAATGTTAGGTAATATTTTTGAATATTCATTAAAATATTTAAATTGAAGTATATATTTGAAATATTTAACTTAAAGTGTACAATAATTTTTTTAACCTCTTGTGTTAGTATTTCGACAATGTCAACTGTTTTGTTTATCTACGACTGTTAGCCCGGTATAACGTTAACTTTTTATTCCGTTATATTTTTACTCTAGTGTAAAATTTTAACGTTAAATTCCTAGTGTTTGTTAACATTTTATTCTATTTATCCCGTATTGATAAATGGATAATTCTGGTTACTAATAAACATAATAAACATATACTACGGAGATGTTCATGGAATGCAGCAATATTTTTAAATACCACATCCCAGGAATAAAATGCCTCAAAGAAGACAAGCATTATTAAAGAGTTTTTTCATATACTCTGTTACAAATTAAATTAGCGAACAACATCTTCATTAAATAATAATTAGTACCTGCGTAATACGCAGGTGCTATATAAAGTACTGAATTATTGGAGTTCCTCTCGACATTTGCACAAAAAATCAAATAAACAACGTGCATGGAGGTTAAATATTATATCATCGTTTTTCTCACAGTAGGCTATGTATTATACAGAGAGATGCGAGATGCGAATAATCATCAAATAGTTATGAATTTCGCTGATAAGAAAAATTGGTGAAGGTGCCGTAAAGTCCCAAGAAATCAGTCTCTCGAATTATTTCACTATTCGTTTACAAATCAGGAGAAAAGCTAAATAAGCACCTAAATATCTTTCTTTTACGTATCATCAACTTATCCATCAACTTTATCCATTAAGATAGACCAACTTTTCCAATGCGGTAATGTGGTACTTACTCCAAAAAGATAGTAAAAATTGAATGAAGTAAAAATTTAACGTTACACCGGTCAAGATACAAAAATTCACGGTTAAAAAAATTCGAATAGAGCTATAAATTGATAAGAATGTTTCGGGGCACCATTATAAATGAAATGTGAAAGTACCCGTCAATTCCACATCTGCAAGAGAAGTTATCCAAGGGCATAGGTCGCAAACTTGTTTTTTTTTGCTTTTTCTTCCAGATTTTAGGTTTTATCATAACAATACATCAAAGAAAAGTTTTAAATCATGCAACTATCTATAAACATTGTCAGTTTCTCCTATGAGTCCCTCTTTAAGAGATATTGTTGCTTTTTGCACATACGATGGCCTCTATAGAGGCCATCAGAAAGGGAGGATAAAGACATATTTTTAATATAGAACTTGAGGGTGTCTTCCTTTCGCTATGGGTATGGTATATATTACCATAAAAAAGAGAAGCAAAAGGACTATATGAAACACTTAACAATAAAATGTAAAATCAATAAAACAATAACATACAGAAGATTTTATATACATTTAAATTTAATAAATTCTTTATACGTACAAGTTAAAATATGTTTGATAAAGATACAAAGACCTGTACTTATTCATAACCAAGATTACTCTTTACAAAAGGTGAACTAATTACCATCGTACCCATGAAAAGGTGAACCAATGCTGCTGCAAAAAAAACCAATTTTTTTGCAGCAGCATTTTGCATAGCACCCATTTGTACAATTGCAAAAAATTGCGTTGAGAAATTTTTCCGGTGCAAATGTGAGTAAAGTCCGGATTGGTTTTAATGTGTTATAGATTATCTTTAAATCAGTCTTTTGGATATAGTTAATTGCCAAGCCAGGCTTAAACTTAAAAACCTATCCGAAATAGGATGTTGATGACCATGAGACCATGATAAAGCGAAGGTAGGAGATTAACATTACCATAAACGATCATAATTTTGAGGTGGTCAAAGAATTCAAATACCTAGGAGCAACAATTACCAGTGAAAACACAGGAGAACGGGAGGTTGAAATACGAATACTGGCGGGGAATAAATCATTCTTTGCCATTCAACATCTAATAAGGTCAAAGCTTCTCTCAAGGCGTGCCAAAATCCAAATGTACAAAACCATAATACGACCAGCAGTGACATATGGAAGTGAAACATGGACATTGAGAAAGAAAGAAATCAATAAGCTATTAGTATGGGAACGCAAAATCCTGCGAATTATATATGGTCCTTGCAGGGACAGCGTGACAAATGAATGGAGGAGCAGATACAACAATGAAATAGAGACTCTCTTCGGGAAAGGCAACATCGTAAGATACATAAAAGCCAATAGATTAAGATGGGCAGGCCACGTGGTACGGAGTGATGACGACAGACTGATTAGCAATGTATTTTGGGAAAGACCAGATGGTAAAAGATCGACAGGAAGGCCTAGAAAAAGGTGGAAAGACGCTGTCAGGGAAGACCTGGAGAAGATGGAAGTAAGGCCATGGGAAATAATAGCACAGGATCGGAATCAATGGAAGGCAATAGTAAACGCGGCAAAAACTCACGAAGAGTTGTAAAAGCCAATGATGATGATGATGAAGGTAGGAGATTAACAAATTAATGCACTCGCTTCTTTTATTAGTATTCTTTACAAAGCGTATGTATCGTAACTTATCTAAGCAGGTAAATTTTTAAAGCTTCATAGCTCGAACGAAAACAGAAAATTTCGTTAGTAAATAACTAGTAAACTTCAGCAGAAATTTGTTGCTCAAACACTTTAGAAGCTTTTATTTTACTCATCCTGAAAAATGTGATGTCACACCCGATGCCATACAGCCCGTTATTGCTGTAAAGCAGTATATTATTTTCAGACTTTGTAGAAGCAGATACACTTTTGGATGCTTTTCCCAAGATAAAGTTTCCCAAGTTTAAAAAAATTATATAATTTGAAGTCGAAGTTCGAACAGAAAGTAAAACAGAAAGTTTACAAGAACATTTTAGGAAATATTTTTAATAAACACACTACGAAGTAACGTTTGAGACTTTTTAATAGTATTTCGTGTATGAGGCGTTTGAAAATCTTGTAGGCCTTTTCACGCGGACAACTGAATAGCAGATATATGTTGCTCAAAGTTACCCTGTAGTGTAAAATGACTGATTTTTTAAACTTGTTTAATCGTTTTATCTCTGAAAATGCGACTCTTAAAAGGGAAAGAAAAAAGCAGATGCTATAGGTAATTGCAGGATATACAATATTTGTCTAATATACATACCTTTATGATAAAATTTACAGTTTAGCTAAAAAACACAAAAACCCAAAACACTGCACCTTGAATAACTTTTTTTACAAATGTCAGATTTTTGGAAGCTTTTCACATTTTAATTGATGGATTCGACCGTAACTTGATGAAAACTAATTTTATGTAACAATAAAACACTGAAAACTTTGTTTTCAAACTTCCACAAAATTTATGTTAACTTATCACTACAGCGGTTTCGGCTGATTGCCTTTCTCAAGTGATCTATTCTTGGCATGCGTGTACACTTTAGAGTCTCTAATGGAATAGGTTGAGGAGAGAAGAACTGTTTGTCTCAAGTTGGTCATTCAGAATTATATCTGTGTTTTTTAATTTGTTGATTTCTATAGATAATAATAATAATATACGTTTATTCAAATCCATAAGTATTACATTAATTTACAATTTCAATTTCAGTTTACTTACAGTAACATAAACGTAA